TCCCGTTAAATTATTGTCCCTCGACGTTCCCCTTCGAGCAATCGTAATCGATAGTTATTGCCAGAGTCCTCGTTAATAGTTCTCCTCATCTCATTGAATCGATGAAGATAATTGCGCTGTCTGGTTACGACACTTCGTCTCGTTCACGTGCTGTTATTTTCTTGAGGCCGTCGAAACACGATACTGAAGTACATAATACGTGTCTTCGAGCATTACTGCGAATCTATACAGACTTTACGCGCGGAGGAACTCCGGAGCATCGCGAGAACCATCAAAGGCTCCACGAGGTTAAACCTTTTTCCATATTACAATGTAGAATTGTCATTCGCGGTTGTAGCGAAGATGCATTTATGGAGAATCAAAGAGCAGGCACTGGAAAATTACATTCACGGTGTTTTTACAGATTTTAAATTATAGTAAGTAGGGTCTGAAAACAAAGTTTTGATCTCGTAGAAAATTTCACGTATTTGGTCCCCGCAATTACAGTGCATTTGTTTGTAACAAAGAAATTAAAACGATAGATACACTAAGAAATGTTAAAAAATTTAGTCGAGTAAATTCTTTACTAGTTGTGTTAGAAATTATTAGTGGATCATTTTGACTGCTTTCTATAACTACTATAGTGATTCGTTTTTTGGTGAAACAATTAATTTTATATTATGATAACTGGTATCCAATCGTCTAGAAACAAAATGTTGATCTGACGAAAATTCTATAAATTTGGTCCAGCAGTTAACATTGTTAAGATATTACGAAGGTTAAAATGTCTGATTCAATACGATTTCAAACTCCTTTTCGACCAGATCTTTCTCTCCGCCATTCATACGCGTTGTCTCTGCAATCCTATTTTCGGAATTCCGATCGATGCAGTACAGATCCTTCTTAATGTTGGAAAACGGTTGTTGTCCACGATTCGATTACAGAAGCGCAGCGTGAATGCATAGCGACGCTATCAGGGAGAGAATGAATACATCGAAGTAACATATGTATCTGGAACATCGATAGATATCTCTTTCTTGAGCGTAACGTTGAAAAGGTTGGAGCTAACAACTTTAATTGCTCGAGAAATACCGTCACACACGAATAGAAAACTGTTAGATCGCCCCCGAAAATTCGTAAACCTGAAATTGATAAAATTTGTAATTTAATAGAAAACAAACACAATTTGTAAAATTACAAAATGAACACCAGTTTGATCCGTGCGTGAGTACACCCACGCTGGCACGGAATGCTCCTACGCGGTGGCAATCAGTGTATTAAAAGAATTAACAAGCGGTTGCCACCTACAGCGAACGATCTCATAAAGAGGCTTCATTCGTCGCTTAGAACCGTGCTTCACCGCACGAGAGGTGGAAAACAGGTACCTTTCGTTCCTATAATTCATTAGTATCCCAACGTTAAGTACCGAACTTGGAATTTCACGTCACACAAAGTAAATTTCGTTGTTACACTTCTGAGGATATAGGAAAGATCGTAAAAGTTTCGAGGCCCATGCTTGGAAAAGAATAGAATTCTCGTTAAACAGCGTTAAAATGAAAGTTTCTAATTTTTTTCGTAAAGAATTAAAAGTTCTAAGAGAGGCCTTTACACTGTACGAAAATATTTTTTAGTCCATTGTTTATTGTCTTTTATTAAATAGTAGCTAACTCTAAAGATTGTCTCTGGTTGGTTTCCACTGATACTGAACCCATTTTAGACAAAAAAAATGGAAAATTTAAAAAACTAATTTGAAGAAAAATTTTTCATTGATATAAAAATTAAAAAAGAAACTTTAATTTTACGAGCTGTTATATGAGAATCCTTTCTTAAGGACTCCCTTTACGTATATTTTTAAAAGGGAAAGGATCGTTTCAAAACAATCACACGATCAAGTTTTCAACAAACTTGTTAAATATTTTTCTTGTAAAAGTGGAAAAATGGAGCATCCCGACTATCGACGTGCCATAAACGGTCAGCATTGCGGAGATATGCTCGAGGATAATTCGAGGTCTGCGATAGCGAAGAAACGAAGAGGTGATTTTCTTGCGTGATAACGTTTGCCTTCGTACTGCGCGTTTAACGCTCGAGACCGTCGAAAAATTAGGTTGGGAAATCGGTACCATATCCAGCGTGTAGCCCCAGACCTCGCCCCATCAGATTATTTTTTATTCGATCCATCGAAAGAGGCATTGCCTGGAAAAGAGTTTCAAAATAACGAAGAATCTTCGACAGCAAAATAAAGAATTGTTTTTTCTGTCGGTTGAAAGTTGATCGATGGGACAAGTGTTTGAACGTAGCAGTGGATTATGTTGAAAAGTCGGGGAATTATAACGCCTGTTACGTAAACAATATTAAAACAATATTTCAACAGCAGTTTGTTTCTTTGCTCGTTGGACGACCCTCGTATTACACATGTATCAATATTCTTAGCTCGTCCGCATGATCGGTGTCTGGCGAGAATATCATAGACAGGAATGCACGAAAGAAATAAATACCGCTGATAAGCCGGATATCAGGATAAAGTTTCGAGCTGAGGAAGCCGGATTTAATCGGTGAAACGTGCACCGGTGATGACCTTTTTCATGGGAAAAACAAATAGCCTCATCTTCCCATCCAACGTGCATAAATCTTTGCATTGAAATTTCACTTTCAATCGGACAAATTGAACAATTGAAACGCGTGGCGTTTTCGATAATCCCTTTACACGGTACAGTGAAAACTCGATAAATGTCGCTACTCCGGGTCCGGTCAGCAACACTTACGGAATAGGAGAATCGTCTTTCGAATTTGATTGCAGTTTGCCGACGCTTCGAACGTAGAAAGAGTCAGTAGCTAAAGAAGAAAGAGGGACTGAAACTCGGATTTATCGCCCCAGTTTAAATATCCGCGTCAGTGTGACCACACTACTGCACAGAAGAAAGTTTTTTATTTTTTACTTTTTGTTAATAAAAATTTCACTATCATGTTGGGTAGATTTCTCTGATTAAAATGAGGCTAAACACGATATAAATCGGCCAATATTTGGTAGCATAATATTGAATTAAATATTGTACTTGCGAGTCTTTCTCTCTTTATTTATCCTTCTTGTGCTGTCCTTTTCTATGCTCGGAAATATCAAAGAACGACGCATCGAGGTGCTGGCTACATTTATCGAACGGGAGGTAGCTATTTTCAAACGGAACGGTTCCACCGTTTCGTAAGTGATCAAAAACTGCAACACTTATGAAATAGGGGGTTTCGTTAGCTACCACTGTTCGATAAATGTACCAATCCACTGACCTTGCGAAGATACGAGTACACAATATTTAATTCAATATTATGGTAACAAATATTGGCCGATTTATATCGTGTTTAGTCTCATTTTAATTAGAAAAATCTTCCCCACATGATAGTAAAATTTTTATTAAAAAAAAGTAAAAAATAAAAAACTTTCTTCTTGTACAGTAGTGTGGTCACACTGACAGGAACATTTAAACTAAGATGACGAAGGCAATAAAGATTTTTAAAGAAAGCCGCTACGTCTCCGGTTACACTTCGCCTCACTGGTTCAAGGGGGATCCCCCTAGTGGTGGGGATAAAAATGTATCATTTATGGAACAGCTCTTGAGGACATTTATCGAGTTTTCACTGTATTTGCTTTATATCCTCTATATCGATAAAATCCTACGGAATACCAAGCTGTTAAGTTTATTCGAGGCGGGATTGATTTAAAATGTCAAGTACTAGATAATCGTGGGACGAAATATCAACCAAACGAGTTGAATGTTAAGCGCGACAAGAATATATTGTAATATTTATTTTTATCACTATCTGTAGACGAATTATTTTTGTTTATGCTTATAGAAATATCTTTGTTTCGCGATACAAAAGGAAAAGAACGTTACGGAGAGATACGAACAGTAAATTAATAAATAAGAACGTAACGGTATCGAAATTAATTTTACTACGTCGTAAAAAAAAAAAAATGAATACGTAGTAAAATATCGTTTTAATACGTCGTATCGTATTTTCTTATGCAAGTATATTCGCTGCGATAAGAATCGAGTTAAAAATAAAATAACGCTGCCGTTTATAAAACTGGAAACGAATTCCAGTTTCGTATGGCTGAAGTCGAATACTCGACGCTGTGTCCGCCGGGAAAAAGTTTATTTTGCAAAACACTCGCGTATCAAGTTGAACGCGTTTCACGCCAGAGACCCAAGTATCAACATTCTGATGTTATACGTACACATACGGGTTTGGTGAATGCATGAATTTTGTATTTTTTTCAATTTATCGTCTCAACAAAATATTATCGAAACGAAATATTTCATTTCTACTTTCTCGTAAATACTGCTTACAAAATCATTTTTGCTATATTTAATTCATTTATTTATTTACAGGTATGAATCCCCTTGTATACAAATAAAATTATGAATCGTATAAGTAACTGTTGATAAGAGTGATTTTTTTCATTATCCAACAAAAAAGAAAATTTCTGTGTCAAAGTTAAGTTGTTAAAATTCGTCGATCGATGATGTATCTTAATAGAAAGAAACGTGTCCAAGTTATCTATATTTTCTCAGATTAAAAAGTTTTCTTTTGTCCACCTCTGACAGATAAGTAGAAGGACGTTTTATCGATGTTCACAGGCATGTTATCGAAAAAGCATCGAAATCGTTCGATGAGTCATACGTGAACGCATTTGAAATGTAAATAACGAGTTACATTTTACGTAACTTCGCGGAGCTTTCTGCACGTCTGGCTATAAATCGTGTTAAATTCTAACGAGTTAAGGTCAGTGTTGTAACTCCGTTTGGCTTAATACCAACGATTGTAGCCGGCTGGCGAGTACCCACGCAAAAAAAAAAGAAGAGAAAAAGAAACATGTAATTGATCCCCCGGGGTATATCTTCGGCGATTCGAGGCAAATCGCCGGGCGATTTATCTTGGATTTCTCTCGTTTTCGTGCTTTCATCGCGGTAATCGGACACTCGATTCCCCCACGAAACGTCTGCCGTAACTAACGTAGCGAATTTTAGGTGCTCTCAGAAGAAGTTCTCTGGATCCCAGCGCAAGAAGATTCTCTTTGGGTACACCTGCGATACCTCATCGAGCTTCCGATGCCTGTCTCGATCCTGTGCACGCCGCCATCCTCTTCAGAGACGCGAGAGGGGTAAGTTTCATTCACGAATATTTTTTAAAAAATTTCAACACACAGCTCCGTCGATCATCTTCTTCTTGTTTCTTCTGGTTTTACGTCACATCGATTTCTATGTGTTGTTAATTATATTTGAACCCTTAGAGCATTTGTTCAGTTTCACTGCATTCGTATAGTAAATGGTTGACTATTAGGACCTGGATACCGCGGTAGCAATAGGGTTGTACAGTTTTTTGGATCAGGTATCCGTGAGTGACTTTGGTCGAGATTCTTTTTTCTTTTCTGTTAAAATTGTTGGATGACCAATGGGCCAAATATCGATACGTCATCGTCTGTTAATCATAAAGCTCGTTGGTCACTAGGTCTAAGGGTCCTCCTCCCCTAATATTGCTAAGACATATATGTATATCTGCGGGTGTTAACACCATGTCCAAGAGTCAAATTCCATAGCAAATTCCGTTATTCTTCACAGTTGAGTTCTAAATGAATTCTAGTTGAATTCTAGTTGAATTCTAGTTGAGTTCTAGTTGAATTCTAAAATGAATTATTATTTATTACGCTGCAACCCCCTACGGGATCATTAGCACAAGTTTACATAGAACCAAGCAAATAATTACAAAATTAAGTACATGAGACAGTGAACTTAGTTGCTACTTATACAATACGTAGAATGAAATTACAAACGAAGATCATGTTTCTTAACGAATTCAAATATGACCATCATAGGAGGTATAAATGATTGAAAAAGGAAAGCATCAATCGTGTACGGAGGGAAGTAGCCTTTAGAATCATATAAAGGACATTGCCATATGATATAATTAAGATCCTGCTCTGGATAATTGACACCTTGTGTCTGGTGCAAGATCGATTAGGAAAAGTGAGACAACTAATCGAAAGTGATTAGAACGTAATCTGTTGGTAAAACAAATAAATAGGAAGGGCCTTTCGAATGAACCAAGGAGCAGTTCAACGTAATCGAATCTTATAATAGAAAAGTATCGCGGTAAAAATCTCTTTTACCAGGTTTTGCGTGTTTTTGTCCCTTTGGTCGAGGTCCATATCTTTTACAATTTTCATGAAGTCCTTGAGAGGGATATGGACGCGACAGCGATCGAAGAAAAATGTAGTTAACAAGTTCGGATGCGTTCGCTGGGAAAGATTACAAGTCGAGCTGTTTCTTGGCACGATCTGCCTAGACAGTAAGACAGTCGACAGTGCTCTATCGATTGTCCTGCTTTCGGAATTGCCTTGGTTATCCCGAGCTCTCATCAGCAGCGACGTACGAACACCTGCTATCTATTTACTTTGTGCCAAAGCAGAACACACCGCGCGACTTTTCCCCGCGAATCTTGAATAGGGTTAAATTGAAATACGGCAATTTGCTTGAAAACCTCGCTGAAACCCTCTTTCATCGTGCTTCCTTCTACGATCACCGGTGTTTGCAATCTAAAAAAATTTTTACTTCACAAACGGAAGTCTCTCTCTCTGTTGTGCCGGTAACTTTTCGTTGGCGTAAAATGACACACTCCCGGCTTCGTAAATCATTCGACCGACTTGTACACACACTGGATTGCCCCCACTAGGTAATCGATGCAATTTTCCATCGTGCAGACCCTTTTCATTCCAAAAGGTCATGCACATCAGAGCCGAACAAATATTATTCACGGCTAACTTACACGGATGTTAGGGTCATTCGTTGATTAACTTTTGCACGCTCGTTCGTCGGCTTTAATTCCGTTAACGAATTCTAATTTACAAACGAAACACAAACGGAAGTTAGTTCGCGAACGAATCTAAAATTTGCGCTCGATAGTCATGAATAAAATTTGCATCAAACTCTGACACACGGTATGGGTGTTCTTCCATTCTTTGACCATGGCACGTGTCTAGCCCGATCGAATGGATTGTATTTTTTACTTGTTCGCCGCGAAACGTTTCATTCTACGGTAGAAACTCCAATTTTTGTTGGACAAGTGGTAAGAAGACTCGTTTGTCCATGAAACCTGATGAAATGGACACAGATCCTCCGCAATTTGTACTTTGATATTTTCATGATAATCCAGCATTAATTCCACATCATTTTCTTCTCCGTGTATTTATATCATCTGTCGGTGATATCACACAATCAGAAATCAAACGAAATAATTTATTTGTATATTTTTGTATTACGTTGAAGGTGCTGTATTTTATTTAAACGAGTAATTCGTTTTCGAGTGCTAAAATTATGTTTATGCAAATTCCTTTTTACTCGAGCTTTTTTCATGCGACCAATTTTTAAATGATCGCATACTCTATACGAGATACGTACGATTTGTATGTATAAGACTCGACGATACTTATTATCCGTATCGCGTTGCAGGCGCGTAACATCCCACTTGCCTTCGCTCGAAACCTTTGATCGGTAACCGTAGTTAATAGCGCGAACGTGAAACTTCGCGTAGGTTTGTTTGCACGCGCGTTCGTAGCTTTTCTTTGCGATGATTTATTGTGTACGTACTGTATAAATATCGATTCGACGAAAAGTCAGAGGAATAATGTAGGTCACGATGAAAGCTCGAAACGTAAGAGAGGGGAATTCATTGAAACCTCTAGAAAAGGCGAGTGTCTTTTCCTATATCTGTTTTTATCATTTCGCGAAGTAGGTCGAGGTTACTTTTCCTCTATGCGCTTCATTGTACGTAACTACGTGAAAAACGTTGATAAAGTGCTTGTTAATTCGTTTGTTATTTCTCCTTTTTTTTCTCTCTCTAATTAAGCACATTTCGAGCACGACTAGTGTGGCAGTCGATAAGGAAAATACAACCTCGTTGATAATTATGGAAATGCAGGTTGTTCTTTTACCCTTTATCGATAAAAAAGAACATTGTCGGTAACGTAGTACTCCTGCCTTAACGGCTAATAACAAATTGTGGTTGTTGTCGATAGTTGGCCTTATCTACGAACGGTTAAGTGATTTTATTTTCAGTTGGTTTTGATACTTGCGTTTTTAACCGTCATCGATTCTAGTAATCTTACAGTACTTATATTTTCTTTGCACAGAACCAATCATCCAAATTAACCTTTTTATATTATGTCACAAACTCTTTGTTTTATATATGAAAAAAGAGATTTCAAACAGAAGTTATACAATGTTTATAATTTATCGATATCTTTCTGTTTTATTGGAAACTTATCGAGATACGAAGGTCGTCTCAAGTTTTGTTTAAACTCCATAATATGCAAAGAAGTCTAAAGAATTGCGATCGCATGCCGCGTAAATTTTTTACAGAACGCACCCTCTGCATTCATCGCGTGCACCAAGTGACACTGAGTCATCTTCAAAGCTTTCCATGGCGTTCAAAATATTCGACATAAATATTTCGCGTGTCTTTTTAATTCCTGTATTCCGCCTTCGTATCAACCCCATTCTAGTCATTTTTCTATTACAAATATTTTTAATAGTTCCCGCGTTTACTCAAAAATTTCTTATTTGTTGTTTTATAAGTAACGTGCACAAGAATTAAGTATTGAAATTTGATTCTTAAATTTAGAATTACTTTTCTCGAATAATTTTGGTTACGCCTGTGGTCTTTAAGAAATGGAATAATTGAAATCATGAGATTAGAAATTGAAAATTTTTTATTTTTTATTCCATAAGTAACGTGCACGAAAATTGAAGATCGAAGCTTGATTCTTAAATTCGGAATTACTTTTCTCGAGTAATGTATTTTGGCTAGCCTGTGGCCTTTGAGAATTGAAATAATTAAAATCATGAGATTAGAAATTGAAAATTTTTTATTTTTTATTCCATAAATAACGTGCAGAAAAATTAAAGATCGAAACTTGATTCTTAAATTCGGAATTACTTTTCTCGTGTAATGTATTTTGGCTAGCCTGTGGCCTTTGGGAATTGGAATAATTGAAATCATCAGATTGCAAATTGAAATTTTTTTATTTCTTATCCCATAAGTAACGTGCACAAAAATTAAAGATCGAAGCTTGATTCTTAAATTCGGAATTACTTTTCTCGAGTAATGTATTTTGGCTAGCCTGTGGCCTTTAAGAATGGAAATAATTGAAATCATGAGATTGCAAATTGAAAATTTCTTATTTTTTATTCCATAAGTAACGTGAACAAAAATTAAAGATCGAAACTTGATTCTTAAATTTAGAATTACTTTTCTCGAATAATTTTGGTTACGCCTGTGACCTTTAAGAAATGGAATAATTGAAATCATGAGATCGCGAAGCGCATTTTGCGGTAAGGTTTCTAGAATCAGCGTCGCTGACCTCGCATCCAGCGTAACATGTGTGACGATTTACATAATCTACACATGTTCGTTGAACTGGTCTAGTCTGACAGTGACAGCTACAACGTCCATTTAAATTTTCATCGGGTCGAAGAATAAATATGATTTGACACGTTTTGGCGGAATACCAACAGAACGGTATCGAGTGCCCGAAACTTCTTAAATCAGTCTGGTACAATAACAAACCGAATTTTCTTTAATTTTTACTCGACTTCGTAACATCGAGAGATGCACTTTGAATTTTCCACCGACACCATAACTTTTGGAGAAGCAAAAATAGAGAACGTCGTGCGATTTCTTGGGTGTCCTTAGAACGAAATTGTGAATGAGGATTTTCTGAGACTCGAAATTGAATTCTTGGATGTTCGTCAAGAATGTGCGATGGGAGCATTTTGTAACGCAGAAGTAGCGTCGTATACGTTTGCAAATGGTTGGAGAAAATGTTCTATTTGTATCATAAAATATTTCCATATGAATATTTGTAAGATATTAATAGAACCTAATGTGTTTACTTAAGTTTACTAGCGATGCTCTCGTTATGTATTTAACAGAACATCAAATATTCAGTGAAGTAATACAGGGAGAAATCAATATTCGTTTTATCCGTAACATGGAAATTACTATTCCGAGTAAAGTTGAATTACGATAAAATTAACGTTGTTCGTGCCGTGTAAACCAGCGTTCTTCGAAAGGTCTGGAAAATTTAGAACGTAGGAAAATGTGGAC